AAAAATTGCGTGGGGGATAAATTAGATTTGTTCTCAATACATTATTATAATTTATAATTAATTATATTGTAAGTACAAATATTAGGTTTGTAAAGTGTTCATGGGATGGGGGGGGGGGGGGTGAACCTAAAAATTAAAAAATTTAAAATAGATGCGAGGTACAGTAAGTGTCGAGTGTTCAGGGGCGTACTCACGGGGGAGCTGGGAGTTTGTCATATCCCCCCTTTGACTTATTGCTGTCGTATAAAATATACGATAAAGAAATGAAAGTATATACTGCTGCTATATAACGTAATTCGAGAATTCATTCCCCCTCCACTTTCAAAAAAACTGAAGTCGACACTGTCAACACTGCGAGTATTCCTCGTCAACGACGAAGACACTGGAAATTAATATGTAAAATTTGAATTAAATGTTAAATGTACGTAGGTTGTAGGTAGGTATATATAAAAAACGATTCTAGTTGGGCACTGGTCAGTGGTCAGTCTATATTATTCAGTAGGTAGGTATATTTTTTAAATTTTTTTCTTTTGCTATTATTCCTCGAAATTCTTATAAGTACCTATGGGACAAATAAAATATGTGCAAGAGCCAAAACTTATAAGAAACTTAAATGAAAGGTAAGTAATCGACTAGAATGAAAATTTGAGTTGTAGACCAATCTACGGGTTAACTTACGCAATAGCTGAAAATATATCTAAATATTTTGAAAATATCATTTTAAATACAATAAATAGTGAAATAAACTACAGTTATATATTATCTACTTACTTAAATGTTTCAAGTCCCAGAGAATAATATTTTTGAATAACAACAAAATAAGTAATAACTAAAGTCTAAAATCATTATTCTTGTAAGTATTATCCAATCTGCCTAACGAGTGCTTGTATTAAAAATTTAAAATAGATCAAAATATAACAGTTTTTATAACAATAATAATTGATTGTAAAATGTCCATAAGTTATAATTACAACATATACGGTTTTTAAATGGTATTATGGTAAATAACTAAAAGCTATTTTTAATTAACTACTTTCTCTCTGTAATAATTACTGCACCTACGTCTTACACTGTATTTACAACTTATAAGTAATAAACAAGGTCGATAATATTCCATCAGTATAATAATATTATTATATTATCATAGTCAGATAGTCCACAAATTTGGATATTGACCATGGATGTATTATTATAGCATCTATATGGTGTTGACAGTTGACGTATATTGTACAATTTTATTATTTACATTATTATTTTATAAAAATGCATATAACCCATATTTTGTGGGGGTTGGGAGTGCATTCAAAACGCCTCTCAGTCCCTGACAACATAACCACAGAACAATAACATAATGCTTTGGCCATGTTTGATACATTTAGAACTATAACATTTGGTAGTCTATCTACGACGCCGTAGGACCATCGCATTCTTCAATAGGGTTAGATTTTTATTAAATTTTCTTTTAAAGTTTCTTTATTAAATTATATGTATATATATTATATTATACCTATGAATAGAAATATCGTATAATTATATAACAATTGTAGGTAATTAAGATGTGTGGCTATGATTTTTCTATATATAATATTATTCTTAATTATATAATTTATATACTATATAATATTAAATTACAGTAGTCATGACTGGTAAAAATAAAAAATAATTACCAACAGGAAAATGCAATACTCAATGCTCGGATTAGGTATGTCTTTACCTATCGAATATTATCGAGTAATCAAATAATAATGTAGTAGGTAGGTATGCCAATACCAAATGTATGTGAGAAATGAATTAATATACTTAATCGATTTATCAATATTGATTTTGGTAACCATTGTAACAGATTGTAAAGACGGCCGGACACAACGGGGATTCTATTCTTTGTAGTTTGTAAAGAACTCTAGCATTAATTTCATAAATGAAGTATAATATTTAATATATTCGATGCTCGTCCAACTGGTTAACTTGGACTTAGCCAAATTATCATACTGCTTTTCTGCTCTATTGAAGTATCATAGTGATTCTGGCTTTGGTCATTTATCATTAAAGGCTTGAGTGCCCATAAAACTTGAGTGTGCAGTGGTATAGCCAGAAATATGAAATGGGGGGGTTGTGGTGGTTAGCGAAAAGTAAAGGCATAATTAATGGCTCTTGGCATATTATAGTTTTAAATTGTTTATTATAAAATATATATTTATTTTTATAAAGAGATTTTTAAGACGGATATAGGTAACATGGGCAATTTTAAGTTCAGAATAATCCATTTTATGGTTTTAATATTATAGTTGATTGACTTATTAATAATTAAACAATTTGAAGATCAAATTGTTATTTAGGGCTTTTTTTCTCAAGTAAGATATGAGAATTTTATTAAAATGTTAAGATGCTAATAACTTGTTTCAAACATTTTACATTTAAATAACAAAAAAAACTTTCGTAGAGCCCTAAATAATATTCCTACATTTAAATTTTAAAAGATATTAAATTCTTCTAATATTAAAAACAAAAGTGTAAAATGGATTGTTCTGATCGTAAAATTTATTGTTGTAAGTTAGTTAGATGGAGACCACACATGCCGGTACAACGTCTTCTTAAGCGGTTATGTGGATAGACAACCTTGATCGATCGTTTGAACGCACCAGCTATAGGTACCTATAAGCACAGAACAATCTGGGTATAAGTATACCCATGCACCCCGAATCGTCAACATATCCTGAGATGCTGGAGAAAGTGTAAATTCACAGATTTATCATTACACTCTGGGTCTCTGGACTACTTTATAAAAAATAATTATGTTAACATAATTTTTTTCTACCAACTATTGTCGTTTATAAAATGATTTTTTTTATAATGGTTGTATTACATTAAGATGCAATAATAACATAAAATAACGAGAGGAAAATGTTGTGAAAACTGTTGTAACCACGAAAAACTTTTATTATCTGGATAAAAAAAAAGATTATACATCATTCTACAGTGAAATTTTACAAATAAATTAGTGGTGGGGGAGATGATTAAAATTTACATAACACAAAATTAAATAACAAATATAATAATATATAAAAAAGTGTATTAATACAATTTGATTCTTTTTCCTGCAAAAATTATTATTATTAAATAATTAAATTTTCATAATAATCATATTTACATTATGGTTTTTTTGTAAGGTAGTGGGTAAGTAGATAATTGTTTAAAAAATATAAAATAAAATATGTTAAATAAAAACGTTTTTCATTTATAAATAAAAAATAAACAAAAATAAAATAATCGTACACTTTACAAGTATCAAACACGCAGTAAAGAAAAAAAAATAAGCGTTTATATATAAAAATTGAAAACCAAGGTATCTTAAAACATAAATTAATAGGAATTACCGATGCTGTATAAGATACTAATTACTACTTATATTACCGATTGATTATAGTCTATAACTATAGTAATAATAATAATAATAATAATAATAATAATAATAATAATATAATGATAATAAGGACTGAATATAATGTAGTATATTAAAATATTATATGATAATATAATATTATGGCATACACGTATTATATATATTGTATATACTATTTTAACACCAAAAACTCTAATGAGATGACTAAAGATTTTTTGATTTAGGTATTTATCAGTTAACTATGCAATAGTATATGGGCGGGAGCCGACTAAAAGCGACACTTCTGCACTGAACGATTCGTGGATGACGCTCATAATATTCCAATGTGATGGTTACTTATAGGCAGGCTCGGACTGACTGGGATGCTGGGATGCTACAGCATCCCTTGCCCTAAAATATATTTGCCTAATATTATTTATTATATATTTAAAGACTCTAGACACCTAATAAACAGCAGATTGTTACCAACTTACGATTACTAGTAATCTATAATATTGTACAATTTTTATTGAAAGTTAGTTATAACTTGGTAAGTATATTCAATATTTTTTTAAAACAAAATAAAATATATTAATATTTTATAAATTATCTACATGTATTAAATTTGTCCCAAAAATTGTTGTTATTTGCCTTTTAAATTTTGTAGCATCCCGTGCCCTATTTTACCAGTCCACGCCTGCTTATAGGTACCATGGCAGCGTGCCTACATGTATTGTACACAAAGGGAAAAGGGATAGTTGATCCATTCTATAACACTTGGTTGTAGATAATGATTAATATCATTAAATAATTTATAAAATACTATAGTATAGTAATAATAATAATAATAATAATATAATGGAATTGTTTATTATTGCTATAATATTATGCTTATAAATTTGTATGCGAACGCGCTAAGAGTATATTTTATTATTACATATTTTATTAAATCATTTATATATATTTAGGTATATAATAAAAATGTTCAATTATAATTATTATTATTGTATTCATACGAATAAACGAAAAACGTACTCGACGCTAACCTAATGGACTTAAGAGTTACAAAATACGCGAAGGTACTTGATATTAGTATCGGTAATATTGTGAATTATTTTAATATTTAACATAATATTGAGAATGGAGGAGAGATAAGTGGCCATGGTATAATATGTGTCTACTACCGGTTACGCCGTGCGTTCTTTCTATAATACTCACACAATAAACACGCACACACATAACATTACACCTCACGTCGACGAATTAAAACGATTAACGTCTATATAGAAATAATAAATATTCGTGTTCGGCTGTATACATTATAATAATAATAATAATATATTACGGATGAAGAGTATCCTACCTACGTACCTACCTACCTAATATTATAATAAGGACGAAAAAAAACATATAATAAGGGGAGACTCGTATCGAATATATTATTATTATATAGAAGCCTGCAGGGAACAATAAAGTTGGCGCAGTGGTGGTGATGGTGGTGGGGGGATGTTGGTGGTTCTATGGGTGATATATATATATATATATATATATATCTTAAAGGTGATTTCTCTCTGAGGGTATATTATATTGTAATTTTTAATGACGTTTTCCTTTTTTTTTTTTAATCGCAGTGTTGGGCCCGTCTCTGGAACCGCCGCATGCGGTTGTGCCACTCTTCTCGCCACTCGATCACTATCGATCTCTGCGTCAACACCAGTCCGTCGCGCCGTTCGCCGTCGTTCTCCTTGCCGAGAATCAAGTAAAGCCTATATCAGACGGAAATAAATTAATACCCAATGCAATCACGTCAAACCGTATTCATATGAATCAAATGTAACTGGAAATATTCACCTTCCGGGCTTGATTTTGGGACACTTGCATTTCAGGTCGTTGTCGTGTATCCAGAATGTGGTAGGTCCCCTGCGAAGTCTTGACCCTTGGCTGCGCTTGTACACTGACTGTACGTTCATCGTGAATTTGGCCCAGTTCTTAGACACTATCGGCTCCGACATTTTTCCCAATATTGCTGTACAAAAAATGTGTAGTATTATGTTGTGGTTATTACAGTTATCATTATTATTAGAAGTTGCCGCATGCGGTATGCCGTGGTTATAATATTATATTCGTTTGAAAGATTATTTAATTTAAAACTTCAAACAACGCTTGGTGAATTCACTATACATTTTTGAATTTTAAATGCTTATAACATGTCGGTTGTCGTTAAAAGATCATACATTTTAACATTTATAGTAAATTCACTAACATCCAACACTCCAACAAACATAAGGGTAAAAATATGGTGTAATAGAATTACATGCACCTACTTATCTTTAATTTTCAAAAAAAAGATAATTTTAATTAAAATGACCGAGGTAGTCATTTTCATAGGCATGCGCACAGGGGGTGACGAGGGTGCCTGGACACCCCCGGACCCTTCACCAGAAACGACAAGGGCCCTAATTATTGATTAAATGTAAATTAAATTAATGAAATTATTGACGAATTCAAAAATGTTGTTTCTTTTAAACATAGATTATCATTATAAGATTGTACATCTATAAATTGTTATGTAGGTAATATTTATTAGAATGAATAATAAAATAAAATAAATATTTTTAGTGCTTTTGATGTATTTAAAACATTTTTCTGTATCTATAATTGTGGCTCCTAATTTTTAGTGTGCGCCCCCGGAACCAAAAGTCTGCGCACATTTATGGTTATTTTTGAATGAATAAATTTTTTACTCTCAAAGAACCACCCTGTATTACATTGTATGTAGTACAACATCACTAAAATACTTATCTGACATTTTGTACAATACATATTTACAATAATATACATAGGTAAACAGTATTATTAATAATAATTTCTTATGTATATAGGTAGGTATATCTATAAATATGCTGAGCAGCGAATGCAGATCTGCGGTGGTTATTTAATGTCTACTATTAACTTTATAGTTCTTGATTATAATATAGTGTACAAGACATAAGAATTTATTATTATTTTTATTATTATTATAATATAATAAGATATATATGTTTTAATTGTATATACAATAAACATAATATATAATATATACATTTTGGATGAATACGTTTTCATCGTGTTTCGTCGGATGGGAATTTTATACTTGTAGTCATTGCCGTCAAGTTGATTGGTTTTCGTGAAAATATTTTGGTTCAAAAAAGATAACCTGCTTACAAAATTCAACAGTCGTAAAATGAAAACATTTTCTACTTAAATAGAATAAAGTCACATTTTATGAAATAAAATAAATTAACCTACGAGTTTTCTATAGACAAATGGCGGTTTCTATTTAAAACTTTAGAGGTAAAAAACTAAAGAAAAGTAATATAGGAAATACCTACACCTATACATTTACGAAATATTATATTCATTATAATAATATGCTGAGCGATTTTTTCAACAGTAAATACTCAATATCAGGATATACATTTTATTTTAGATAATCTGAAATCATCAAAAAGCAATGTTTTTGAAAAAAGGATATTTTTAAGTTCTGTACTTTTTGAATGACAACATGAATTTTTAATTTCATATTACGAAGTAAAATATTTTTTTAGAATTCATACATAAAAATCAAATTTTAAATGAGTACCTATAGTACTATATATAGTAAATTTATTATAAATATTTAAAATTTAGAAGAGTACAGAAGACCAATATTTGAAGGGTATACAACTGTATTACACTTCGCTGTCAGGCGTTCGCTATGAACCTAAACTTTAAATACTTTTATAGGTTTATAACTGATTAAATACTTGCGAAAAATTCGATTTTTATAAATCAAAATTATTTGAAAAAATATTTTGCTTTAAGATAAAAAATAAAGAATGTATGTTGTTGTACGAAAAAGTATAAAAAAATGTAATTCTGTAATCATTTAAAATTATGTAAAATATATTAATTTTTACTTATTTTAAATTATGAATGTTTAGGTAATATTAAAAGGATCACTTTGTACACGGTACACTGTAGAGATAAAATGTTTGGAACAAGTTAAATTCATAATAGTATTATAGTAGGCTACATCAACCATCGTATCAGGACGATTTATTTTCCTTCAACAACGTCCATCATAATAATAAAATATTATTATATAAGGTCAAATTTAATCTCATCAGTTTTATGGAAAAGATATATCTATTTTATAACGATGTTACACATACAGAATATTGTAAAACGTGTAAAAGTTAATTATCTTTATCATAATATAGTTATTTAAATTTTTAAATTATAATTCCGTTTCCTTAATTGATAAAAAACAATCCAATATTGCAACGATGAACGTTCGGGTTGTTCTAATATTATGTTATGAAAAATATGCTGTTTAAATCAAATGCATTTAAATTAATTAAGAGCTCTAATCTAACCGGTGACCAACTTAACTTTGTTGCTATAAGTGAGTCCTTAATCCTTACGATGCTCTGCAACATCATAGTCGACTACATAATATAAGAGATTTCTTGAGTTATTGAAAACAAAATGATTCTGACATATTTTGTTAAATCTCTAAAGATGATTATAATTTTAAATTTAATTAAATTTAACGAAATCTAATTTTCTCAACAAAAAACTTGGGTCTGCTGATGACTTTAGTGTGATGCACTATAGCCTATAGGTATATCGTATATAGGGCGCAGTAATTATATAGTTACAACTTTTCAAGTTTTATTTTAGATTAAAAATTGTTATAAGTAGTATAAAATATTATGTTGTTTCAAATAAATCATGTAATGAACAATTAACGAACTCGATATTTTATTTATCTATTTAAATATAATATATGCCATTTTAAATTCTGATGTCAGACAATAAGCGACTAATTAATTAAAATGTTTACTAAAATATATAATCATCAAGTACTTTACAGTAATATAAAAATGTCTTTAGACCTGTAGCGGAATATTATTTTAATTTAATTTAGATTTAAAATACAAGTAAACCTAAGAGGCTATGACAGTTCGGAGATGTATGCGTCGAGATAGTGTCTTTTATTGTTATTTTCCCGGTCTGTCGGTGCACTCGACAAGCGATTTATTATACTATGTACAAGATAAACCATATACCTGTAAAACCTGAGTATAGGAAAAGAAAATTTACATTTTTACTTCATACGTACATATTACATAACATATTTATTTTTTCTTCATATTTGTCGTGTTTAAAAACGAGTAAAAAGTTATCAAGCTATAGTTCTTCAATTTCTTTGTGTATGAACATTTAAAAAAATCATTTGTATATATATGTCTTCTTCAAGAACACCCGCGACTCCCGTTTGATGTTCGATCCGCATCTATCTCCTTTTATGTAACTTACAATTTAGTATTTACAACACAACCCCGTTCCATACGTTCATATATCTATAAGGTATGGGATGCTGTAAAAATAATAATTTACGTACCGTAATCTCTACGGCAGTACTTGTTCAAATTCAGTCTCCTGGTTCCGGATCGACACTTGCCGCATTGATCTGTCGAACAAAAACTTTATTATAATATATGATAAAACGATTATCCAGGGTATCGTAATAAAACCATAAAAAAGGAAACTATATAATATTGTATGTAGGTACAAGAATAGTTCGTTTGCCGATACCTAAATATATGCATTATGTGTAAGTATATTGTTTGTACAGTTATAGAAATAAGTGTAAACATAATAGTATAAATACTAAATACCCAATATATGTGTAATACAACTATATAGTAAATAATCATAATGTGTGTATGTTAAGTAGGTATTCGTTTACAAACGGCAAATACGAAAATCCGGTCGAAAGACCGTACTGTCGTATTTATTATTGAGATTAAGGTTTGGGTAGGGGATGATTTTACGATGAGTTTTTAATCTCAAAGAGGCGGTGTGAGTAGACACGTCGTTTGATGAACGTTACATTTTTTTTTTTAATAACTATGTATGTGTATTTATTACGTAGGTAGGTACCTGCATATATATTTATTATGTAGGTATATATTATAATATAGGCAGGTGACAGTCAAAACACGAAATATTTAATTCAGGCCATATAAACCTGTTGAACGAAGACCACCCCACACATAAAAGTGGATAAATTAATGGCCCAGTTATCACCGTCGTGGTAGGTTTAATGTTTCCGCGCTATCGTGTAATAACCGCTCTCCCTCCCACCTACGTAAATGTATCGCCACCGCCACAGACGACACCGCATAATATAACAACTGTCAATCTCCTCATCGAATCGGTGTCAGGTTTCCGGCTCAAAACACTTCACGCCTTATCATCATAATAATATACACACACACACACACACAACAGACTATATGCACGTACATAAAAGTCATCTACGGTTGATGTATGATGAGTACCTGCAATCCACGAGGACCTTACTCGTTTTTCGACGTTATGCGTCACCACAAAATATTATACACACTCTATATAATAATATACTTAAAAGTTTTAAATTTAAGATACATTTCGTTGAGTCGCTTATTGCTTTCGTTCTCTATATATAGTATCTTTCTCTAATATATACTGCACACGCCAACTATATAACATGTATCCCTCGAGAGCGTTTTCGGAGAATCGTATCAGCGACGATATATACGCGTATTGGTAGGTCTATATTTTTATTATTCTGAGTGTTAAACCTGCAAAGCTCCGTATACGATAAAATGTCGTCTTCGCAGTTCACGTAATGTGTTGTGGGCCAGGATCGAAAACCATCGGTTTCCTCCACACTAAAACGCATTTGATCTGCAGAGGGGCGAGGCGCACGCCACTTTATATATACGAGCGCCGAGCACACACACGTTATACCGACGGTTGTTGGTCATTATACGCCGCCGGCCTCCCCTTAATGATAACATCTTCGCTAAATTGCGTACGGGTTTTATTTATATTCGACTGTCTGCTAGCCAAAGAAGTTAACCCTCGTCGTCTTCAACAATAACACCGTTATCTATATCAGCCTTTATACCTTCTACAGTATACACTCTACATGGAAGAATCGAACATTTTTAATCGTTGCGAGCGTATATGCGCATTGTAAGCTCCGATCAATGCGGTTACTCCCTTGATTCCAAGACGTATATTGTCGCCAGATGCAGATATTAAAAATTAAAGTGACACACTCGCCTCACCCACTCCCATTTAATGAAGAAAGAAGACCCTCCTATTTCTACATGCTGCAGTGGGGACTCCCTCACAGTTAAACATATTTTAACCGAATGTAGAACTTACGAAAAGGAGAAAGAAGAAAGTTCCAAATCTCTGATCACCTTGCCGAAATACTCAACCTCGAACCCAACAACGTATTCAAGCTCATACAGTTCCCATCAGAAACTCACCTAACAATAAATTGTAAATTGTATATATTACTTAATACTTAATTTTAGTGTTTTTTTTTCTTATCTGTTATTCCTAAAAATGTTATTATTTGTATTATCAGTTTGTAAGTTTGTTTTATGTAATGCATGAATATTTATAAAATGTATCTTGACGTCCAATGGCCACAGATGCTTGATAAAAATGCAGTTTGCTTGATAAAAAAAAAAAAAAATTGTTACTCGTCACAAATCTAAGCTAGGAAATATTCTTGAGCATCCTGTCACTGTTTCTTTCTCTTTCTGTCTCTATATACCTCTATATAGGTACTATAATATGTAATGCATAGGTCTGCATAAATGGGGTAAAAAATTAAAACATTATTAAAACACCTCTGTATAAAATATGTATAATGTCTTGTTTATCTGTGTTTTTCTGCCAGTAGTCGCTATACGCATTCTTCAACCGTCGTGCGAGTAATGAGTGCCCTTAAGAAAAAGAATCGTGTTTATACTTCTGCAGCTATCGCGATGAACGTGTTAAATTTTGTCGATTATCTTTTCTTTTTTTTTTTTTTTTAAAAAAAGAAGGAATTTGACTTTGATAAATGGGCTTCACACCCCCTCGGTTGGTCGCACCGAGCCCGTAATCCATTAACGACTTGGACGTACCCGATCCGATCCGAACCTAGCTATTTGCCCATGAATTCTTAAATCCCTCGGGGACGATATCTCGAACGATTTTATTCGAATTAACATATTATAGCTGGTGGCCAAGAAATCGAAGAAAAATATATTTTTTTATAATATTAAATATAAAATAACAATATGATCAAACTGACATTACTTATAACCAGATGTACATATATCGGTATATTTATATTATTTTTTATTAAATGTTCAATACATTTTTTGTACAATAACGTGTCACACGTTATTGTAGATTGTTGCAGGGCGAGTTTTTAATTAAATTGTATTTTTTATACTTTATTTTGAGTGACAATATAATACTTTAATAAAAATACACATTTTAATTTAAAAAAAACGATTCAGGCTAAAAAATTGAAATGAGTTATTAAAAAATTCTAAAACCAGAACCGATGATAAAATATTAAGTTAATAAACGTTGGGTATAAATTCAAAATTGGGTATAACATTGGATTTTTATTAAATAAATATTAAATACCGTTATCCTCGTCATCTTCATCATAATCTCCTTCGTCTCCTCCTTCATTTTCTGCTGCACGAGCATCCGACGACATTTGGTTCACGAAAATCTTTGAAGGCAATTCTGTAAAAATAGAATTAATAATAAACTAATAGTTAATATCATAAAAATGTATAATTTTACTTATGCATGGCGCGATCTGCGATCTACTTTGTTGGTATCCTTTAGCGCATCTGTCGCATGTTATCCCGGTCACGCCGTCTTTGCATGGACATTGGCCAGTGGTGTGATTGCATGTTTTACCGGATGCACCAACTGGATGACAGTTGCATGCTGAAAAATTGAACAAATACTCATATTGTTTATTTATTTCTGAAAATGTATTTAAATATAACATTTTATAATATAATAGAGACAAGGGTTAAATGATTATGTGAATAATATTTAAGTCGACAACGTCATATATAGGAATTATGTACCTACAATTTTTAACTAGTACTAATATCATAATATTATAACAATTGATATATTTGTGTATCATAATATGGCTGTATAAGATTAAAAACCTTTTAACATAGTTGGTATTTAAATTTAACTTCAACGTTTTATATATAATATAATATTTATTATGTATTATATATAAATCAAAATTTAAAAACGTAGATTTTATAAGTACATAATTATATTTTTCTTGGAAAGGTGTTTATTATTTAGCCATAAATAAATGTAATGGTTATTTTTTATTTAGATAAGTATATGTATTTCAATCACGAAGAAATATACCTACAAAGTTTAAAGTTAATGTAATTGTAAAATCGTCAAAGGGTAGGGCTTAAAAACACATTTAGGAGAATGTATTTGCCGAGTCTTAACCAAAATCGATATATTTTTGCGATAAATTTACAGAATCGTAATTTCAGAGGGGACCTGAGATAAGTATACGTATATCAGATAGGAGTTTTTTAAGGAGATGCTAAATCACCGGTGCCTCGAGGGATGAAAAAACGGAGGGTAACTATAGTGAATCGAGAAGAATTGCACTAGTGGTGTCCAAATACAGGTCAGGGTCTGGTAAAAGATATATTACTGTTATACTATGAGAGGACAAACTAGAATATTCGACAAATGTACTGTAAAATTAGTTTCCACTGCAAGAATTTGGCTCGAAATCGCATTAATCCTCGGGCATAAGTTTCAAAAGTATTTTTTTTTAAATATTTAATTGCCAATCAGACGATTGGTGAATTTAATTCCCTGGAAAATTACCATAATGAATAGGATATTGTAGAAATTTTATGAACCGAATGAAATTAATTATTGGAAGAATTTCCTATAAGCCCGCCGACGGTTAGTTAGGGACACACCCGTCAAACACCCCAAAAACAGTTTTAATAATGACGTCGCCTTTCACAATAACAATAAATAATAATAATTATATACTTTTCACAATTTCCAATTATATTGTGTTTTTATTTACAGCTATTTTATATTTAGTAGCGTGCTGCCAAAAATGTTACACCGAACAACATAATATTTGTATTTCCCTTTGGGGCTGAAAATCTTGTTTGTAATCTACACTTAAAAATAAAAAATCATAAAATATAACAAGCTAATCAGAAATAATTAAAATTACACATAATATACATCATAACCACCTTCTTGTATTGTACACACTGTTCACTCCACCATTAAATATGCATATAAAAGAAGTAGGTAGTATATTTAGCATTTTTAAATTGTATTTATTGGAAAAACATACTCTCTTCTTAGGTAATCATAATGTTGTTTACATTATCATACTGTATAAACCAATTATTATTTTTTAATTATGTATGTATTACATTTTATGATTGATTGTATAACATGAGAAATGTTATAGTTATAGGTAAAGAATTAATTATAAATATTATCCTTATTATGTAATTTATATTCATAAATTAAATTATTAAAATGGTAATCGGTCATAATATCCAAAGATAAAATAGTCAAATAAGAAAACGTCCATGTTAATAAAAAAATCAAAGATTTAAAAGATAAGAAATCAAATTCAAAATATTCATGTAGCTATATGCTCAATAGGTAATAAAAATAAATAGTAATAAAAAAAAATCAAAAGAATTTTACAAGATATAAGTTCACACTGTTGGGCGATTGAAGATAATTTTACCTAACTCGTATTATATAGTCCATAAGAAAACATTTAACCAATTGTATAATAACTAATGAGTATACAGAGCCTGAACAACATACACATTAGTTTTGAAAGCAATCCTTAATTCAATAAAAAAAATATTGTAAGATTCTTTTAATTTTTTTATAAACAAAAATGTAGATACATTCTAAGGATACACAGTTAATGTTTAATAAGGTTAATTATCAATTTTGGACTTTTGTTTTTCTACTGTTTATTAGTGCGATTTTATGTCCTTCGTTGTTTTGACTTGATTTTTTTATTACATAATTTTATTGTTGATATTTTATTCAAAATTCAAAAGTGAAAATAATAATTTAATTGATAATATAAATGTTTAAGTGTTTTGTTAGAGTTGACAATTCATGTAAACAAATTATTATATATTTCTATAGTGTATACATTACCTACTTATTTATGTATGAGGTCCATCATACATGTAACTACACAGGGCAAAATCATATCGTATATTATATAATATAATCGTTGCCTTTGTATTTAGAACATATTTTATATTATGTTACGTATTATAGGTACGTGTAACGTATGAATGAATTGTGTTAATTTCCAAACTTTGATACGGTCTTACTATATTACTATAATATAATGTGTTTCAAACGTAGTTTAATAGCCAAACGTTATGTTGTTTTTCAGACATTAATTTTTACAAACAAAGATTTTGAAACGAATTTATTTCAGAACCATTGAACAGTGTGAACTGCTTAATTGACTGCACCTACGGACTGTCATGGCTCCCCGCGTTGCTGCGATTGATTTACAGACATAACTATTATTGCATCAATATTATAACTATGAGTAAGAATACTGCATACACACACACACGCGCACATTACATATACATATACATTATACGTGTATATTATATATAGTTATATTCATTTTAATCGTTCGTTTACTCTTGACATATTTATCTCGTCTGAGATAATTTTTTTGAAATACCTATATCTGGTATATTTTCATTTAGAAAAAAAATACAATAATCTTTTTCTAAGAATTACATTTTAAAAAGGATCGTTTCTGTCGGTGGCAGAGGCATACGACAAAGTCTGTGACTACACGACGCGGAGACAAGACTGAAAATATATAGACAGTAAAATTAGTTTACAGTTCAAAAGGTTCAGTAGCAAAGCAAACACAACTAAAAGGTGAAAGCGATCGGGTACAAGTGTATACGACCCCCTTTAAGACTTTTTAATAAATCCATTCATCCCTTTGGAGAGACGAACGTGCGCGCAATTAATACTTTGAAGGCGAAAAATAAAAATAAGCGACGTTGCTGCACATTTGCATCATTATCGCCCAAAGCGATGTTACACAATTTGTCGGGGAGGTTTCGAAAGACATTTCGAAGTTTTGCATTTAGTGTTGGAGTGTTTCCGCGTAGCTCGAGGGCCTACGCACCATATAGAAAATAAAATATGCATACATTATAATGAATAATATAGTTATGGATGCGTACGTATACGTTTTCCGGTTATTATTATTTATCTGACTTAAAAAAAAAGATTATTAGTATATTATTACACGTTTGCCTGCACGTCAGAGTTGTATTGTTTCGTTACCGTTAGTTTATTTTCGTGTCAAATATGATTACTTAAATTACATGCTTCGAGATCGTTAATATTAAAAACGACAATCAATCATAAACGATTATTGAGTATTCACGTCTTCTCCAACTAACTTTTCCACTAGGTATATGTATTATACGCGTCGGACCGATATCAAACGCCCGGAGATATTTTATAGATGATAAATAAAACATTTTATTGGTTCGATAATTATTAGAACGAACAACAACAATCAATGACCGTGTGCTGCCGTGCTACCGATGGCCACTTTTCGCCGGAGGTCATAGTAGAATGAAGTGTTAATGAGATTCTATTTAAAAAAAAAGGAAAGAAAAAGATTCGTTCAGTGCGTTTCAATAATTAAGAAGTACCTCTACCAGAATTTTGTCCGTTTCTCTTTAGAACGCTGATCACGAAACACATTTTTGTTTACCGGTTAGATATAGGTACCTACTATATAAACGATTTGTGGGTAACTATAGTATACATAATGGCGTGGTAGTCGCAAGTCTGTTCGACCCAATAAATCCTCGTTTTCGCGGCAAACTGCTCGAAAAGTTTTTAAACGGATAAAAATCGATTATTATTTTCCAACCGGTAATGTTATCCAATTAGTCTTAAATCGGGTTAAGCTGAGTGTGTAGGGGTCCTTCGAATCCAATAATTTACGCTCGCGTTTGTTTTTTAATGAAATTTACCGATCGCACGTTGTGTACCACCCTTAATCCCTACTCCGAAAACATTACAAAATATATTTATTGGGCCTTCCTGCAGCCTGCCATCTCATCTCTCCATTCTGCAGTATAGGTATATTATAACGGGTTATTCTATTATTCGCAGTGAACTAATTTAAATATATTTAGAGCAATCATTATCGACTAAAATAGGTTTCATATGCCATAAAAATCTAAAAACGACAGCATGTTATTATTCTATATTCTATATTATGTTTATATTACAATATTACATTCATATATAATTTTTTATAACGATATGTAGGTACCTACCTTTAACAATATATTATATGTATATACATTATACCTATATACTCGACTACTCAAGACTCAAGTATTTTTTCACAGTTTCATTTTCACTCAAATTATATGTGATATTTGTAGAATATTTATTAAAATTACTAGGTTTATAATTAATATACAGATTGATACCTATAAGCAGGCGTAGGATAAAATATATAAAAAAAGAATACAAAAATCAATGCATAAATTATAGCAAGTATATTCTTGGTATTCTATAAATCAATAATAAGCCTTAAAAAAAAATTATAATGTATAAAATATATTACATAAATATATTATGTTACTTTGAATTTTTTAAACTATCATAATATTTGATATAATAATGAACGCGAACTAATTACATAGGATTTGCCGTCTTTGGCTTTTGCAAGTTGAATATATAGGAAAAATAAAGATTAAATTTAATTGAAACAAAAATAAAAAGTCTAGTGTGTCACACTGTATATACGAGCGTACCACGCGGGTATAGAATTACGGGAAGCTCGTCTAATTTATTGTTAATAGACTTAGGGTCGGGGGATTTTTTGTTTTTTAATATGGTTGTCTAATAACTCGGTGGAAATTAATATAGCCCCCTTAA